TTCAGTTTCAAATGGGTTTCTCTCAAAAGTTACAATCTTTTTCGATTCTTGCATTAATTTTATGCAATTCAAGGCTCTTTTCTAGGGCTGATAGTGTTGTAAATCAAATGATAATGATGTCTGGTGGTGGATATTCAGAGATTTTGGATTCATTAATTAAGTCTTGTAAAGAGTTTGATTTGAATTACGGTAATGGTAATGAAAATAGTAATAATAATGATCTCGGGGTAGTTTTTGAGTTGTTGATTGATGGGTATAAAAAGAAAGGGCTTTTTGATGAGGCTGTTAGTTTTTTTTTGGGCGCGAAAAGGAATGGTTTTGTTGTTGGCTTGTTGTGTTGCAATGGGTTGTTGAGTGATTTGCTGAAAGCTAACAGATTGGAGTTGTTTTGGAGGTTTTATAATGGGATGTTAGAGGCTAACGTGTTGCATGATGTCTATACTTATACCCATTTGATAAATGCACATTTTAGAGCAGGGAATGCTAAGGAGGGTAAACGCTTGCTTTTTGAAATGGAAGAGAAGGGATGTATTCCTAGTTTGGTTACTTACAATGTGGTGATTGGTGGGTTGTGTAGGGCTGGGGAGGTTGATGAAGCGTTTGAGTTGAAGAAGTTGATGGACAAGAAGGGCTTGGTCGCTGATGTTTTTACTTATAGTATACTTATTGATGGGTTTGGTAAACAGAAGAGATGTACTGAGGCGAAGTTGATGTTGGAAGAGATGTTTAGCAAGGGTTTAAAACCTGACCACGTTGCCTATACTGCTTTGATTGATGGGTTCATGAAACAAGGTGACAGCAGGGAAGCATTTCGGGTTAAGGAGGAGATGCTTGCTCGTGGAGTTAAATTGAATCTTTTTACGTACAATGCTCTTGTTAAAGGTGTGTGTAAGTTAGGTGATATGGAGAAGGCAAATGCTCTTTTAAATGAAATGATTATGGCGGGGATAAAACCTGATACTCAGACTTATAATAACATGATTGAGGGATATTTGAAGGAACAGAATACATCACGGGTTAAAGATTTATTGTCTGAGATGAAGAAGAGGAACTTGTTGCCCACTGCATACACTTGCGGCATGATAATCAATGGTCTATGTCGTCATGGATCTATTGAAGATGCCAGTAGAGTGTTTGAGATTATGGTTTCTCTGGGTGTGAAACCGAATGCTGTAATCTACACAACTTTAATAAAAGGTCATGTTCAGGGAGGGAGATCTCAAGAGGCAGTGAGAATTTTAAAGGTAATGGATAATAAAGGGGTTCAACCTGATGTATTATGCTATAATTCTGTAATCATTGGCCTGTGCAAGGCTAGAAAAATGGAAGAAGCAAAGGATTATTTGGTTGAAATGACTGAGAGGGGACTTAAGCCAAATGTGTATACTTATGGGGCTTTAATACATGGATATTGCAAGTCAGGGGAAATGCAAGTAGCTGGAAGATACTTCAAGGAGATGCTAGGTTGTGGTATAGCACCAAATGATGTTGTTTGCACAGCCCTGATCGACGGGTACTGCAAGGAGGGTAGCACTACGGAAGCCACTACAATTTTTAGATGTATGCTAGGACAGTCAGCACACCCAGATGTGCGGACTTACAGTGCCCTCATCCATGGTCTCTTGAAGAATGGGAAACTTCAAGAAGCAATGGAGCTGCTATCCGAATTTCTTGAAAAGGGATTGGTGCCTGATGTCTTTACCTGCAACTCTATTATTTCTGGCTTTTGCAAGCAAGGTGGTATAGGGAAGGCTTTTCAACTTCATGAATACATGTGCCAAAAAGGCATCAGTCCTAACATCATCACTTACAATGCTTTGATCAATGGACTTTGCAAGGCAGGCGAGATAGAAAGAGCCAGGGAGCTGTTTGATGGAATTGCAGGAAAGGGTTTGGCTCATAATGCTGTGACCTATGCGACTATCATAGATGGATATTGCAAATCTGGAAATCTAAGCAATGCATTTCGGTTATTTGATGAGATGACATTGAAGGGGGTCCCACCTGATAGCTTTGTCTACAGTGCCCTCATTGATGGATGTCGCAAAGAAGGAAATACTGAAAAGGCCCTGTCCCTATTCTTAGAATCAGTGCAGAAGGGCTTTGCTTCTACTTCTTCTCTCAATGCTTTGATGGATGGGTTCTGCAAGTCTGGGAAGGTGATTGAAGCTAATCAGTTGTTGGAAGACATGGTTGATAAGCATGTCAAACCAGATCATGTGACCTACACAATTCTGATTGATTATCATTGCAAGACAGGTTTTTTGAAGGAAGCAGAGCAGTTCTTTGTTGATATGCAAAAGAGGAATCTGATGCCAAATACTTTAACTTATACAGCACTTTTAAGTGGTTACAACATGGCGGGGCGCAGATCTGAGATGTTTGCTCTTTTTGATGATATGATTGCAAAAGATATTGAACCTGATGGTGTTACCTGGAGTGTAATGATTGATGCTCATCTCAAAGAAGGTGACCATGTGAAAACTTTGAAGCTGGTGGATGACATGTTGAAGAAGGGTGGTAATTTGAGCAAAAATGTGTGTCATGTGCTAATTGATGCATTGTGCAGAAAGGAACATATTTCTGAAGTGCTGAAGGTCCTTGAGAAAATAGAAGAGCAAGGATTAAATCTCAGTCTCGCTACTTGCAGCGCTTTAGTACGCTGTTTTCACAAAGCAGGCAAAATGGACAGTGCAGCCAGGGTCTTAAAGAGCATGGTCAGATTCAAATGGGTTCCAGACTCCACTGGATTAAATGACCTAATCAATGAGGAACAAGGCAGTACAGACTCTGAGAATGCTGGTGATTTCTTAAAGCAAATGGCATGGGAAGTTGCTTGCCAGGTGCGGGCCTGATTCCTTGTAATTGGATGAGGGAATTGTAGTTGTAATCCTTCAAACTGTTTTCTTCCTGTGGTTTCATGGGATTATGAATCCGAGCAACATTTTCCAGGAGTTAAGTGACGGGCTTAGGCAGCAATGGTGGCAGCTAAGTCTCATGTTCATACAATGTTGAGTTTCCTTGTGAACTAGTTATTAAGTCACATTGGAAGACTTGCAATCAATGCAACTTCAATACTAAAACGGTGTAGCAATAAATTTACACCATGTATCTTTGCTCGGAAGGTTACCAAAACAAGGTTTTGGTTGGAGAATTTGGAGAGAAAGGAATGCCAACTACAGACATCACAGAGGGACACTTAATACCTCGGGGATAGCTACAGTTTTCCATGAGATGCTGGCCCTCAGAATTTGAAAAGGACCACCATTGGTTAGAAGCCAAGGCCTTAATCTCTCCACCAAGTAATGACTTCTACTCTTCATCTTAAATTGGAATATCTCCTTGTTTTGATATTCTTTTTTCTCATTTCTCTTTTTCTTGGAGATAAAGCCAGAAGTGGTTTCTGGATTTTCACTACAGTTTGAATAATTCCATTGTTTGAAATGGGCAAGACATCGTTTTTAAGCTGTTTTTTCTTTATTGTAGCGTTGTAGGAATGCACGCCAGTCCTTATAAGTTTAGTGACTCTGTTTTCTTGTTAACTTTGTTTCTAGCAGGAAAATATTATTAAGAAAATCAGGCAGTGTAGGAATCTGACTGCCTCCTGACATGAAAAAAATTGTCTCAACTCTCAATAACTTGCCTTGATTGGTTAATGATCTTATATTATTTATTATCTTTTCTCTCTTTCCCATCTTATGGTAAACGGTGATTTTACTTGATGATATTTCTGTTGTCTCCCATCTCTAAATAATTGAACTTCAATTGGAGCTATAAAAAATTCACATGTCAAAAAAATGTATTTTTCTGGTTGTACCTTGCGAAATTTTGGGCAATGATAAGGAGGTTTGCTTGTTCTGACAATTTGCCTCTGTGAAATCTGTCCTAACAGCTGCTTTACTTGGAACAGGTAAAAGCAGAAAATAGCAAGTCAGAGGGATAAGAACAAATGCATAAGGCATTGATTTGGTTTAGTTGCCATTGACCAAGATAGCAGATGAAGGCTTGGCACTGGCTGCTATCGCCACCAGCCTTTGGCACTGGCTGCAAACATAAAAACATGCAGCTGAGGCAACTAAGATTATGGCTTTGAAAGCGAGCAGAGCAGCGCCAGGCAGAAGATGACCATGATTTTAACTTCTGTCATGTCTTCCAGTTCTCTGTGTATTTGAGCTGCCAGGTTGTATGCCCTCTTGCATCTAATGATGCTCTTTTGTATCTTAAAGGTCTAGACCTCAGCAATGTTCAAATTTAAAGCAGTTTTATCCGAGGTGCATTGCATGGGTAGTAGTATTTTATTCTTTTGTGGTATCCAGCTAAACAATAAAGAAGAAACCTAGCGACCTGGAGGATACCTGCAAGGACAACGTTGTACTGATGTTTTGTTACTCGATGTATTAACTATAATTATGATCAAGACATGCTCTTGGACCATCCTTCTCTCTCACCCTCCTTGCATACGCCATTATCTGCCCAATCATCTTTTGCCGGTGGGATTTGAACGTGCACCGGTGACAGTGGAAGTATGTTTTTGTGGCCAAATATTACTTTTCTGAGACACGAGGAGTGGTGGAAAATGTCTCTCTCTCCAGCTCACCTGGTTTTCTGCATTTGTGCTCAAGTTGTGGGATCAGGCTGCCGAAATTCGTGCTGAAATACTTCCCGATCTTTTTATCACCAACAAAGCCACCGGTTCATGTCTCAATTTGGAAGACAGGTCAGAGACTCTTGCGAAGGGGACCTTCTCACCTCAAAATACATGTCTAACACGTATAGTACGTAAATTAATAGAATATTTGATTCTCAACTCATAATGGGATATTTCATCAATTAATCTATACGTGAAGAAATTTCAGAGAATCAATTATTCCGTCTGATTGAGAGTTATTCCTTGATCGTAAGTAATTTCTTTATCATAAAATTTAATGAGTTGTTTTTTGATCGTTTTCTAGAGTGCAATGATACACTGAAACCCAGTTTTGGAGGAAGAACGACCGGGGTAACTTGGAAACAGAAGTGCAGTAACTTTACAACAACATCATGCCAGAATCCTAAGGAGTTAAGAAGATAAGGCTGAGCAATAACTTTACAGCTATAACCTAACACAATCCTGATGGGTTAAAAAAGGTCAGCTTGAAGGGGAAAGTTTAAGCACCTATTTTGGCTATTACACAGAGACTGAACTCGTATATATCTCATGAAGATGGAAGATTGACTTAACAGACAATCACCGCATCTTGTAATCAAACAGATTTTGGTCTCATTTTTTTATACAAGAAACCACTTTACAATAACTAGAATATGATACAGAAGTTGTCCCTTGATTGGAATTGGAGACTCCATTCACCGTCTTTCGGTAAAGAGTTTGCCTGTTAACAGAATAACAAGCTCGCCATCATCAATGGATGATCCTGGTGCAAGCTGTAGTGCTGTTTTACCTTCGCCATTCACAGCTCGTGGATTGGCCCCCCTGCATCGCCAGATTTGTAAATGAAAAAAATGGAAAATGATAAGCATTTGGTATTGAAAAGATGATAAATTCATCCAATTTATTTGCAAAGGGCTAATCTTGAGAGAACATCGGTTACAACTTCAGTGGAATCAAGTTTGGCTCTAAAGAATTCTGATGATCATTTATTTCCAAAAAAAAAAGAACATGCATTCAATTTTCATGAAAGTGTCCATGGAATAAAGACTGGATATGAAGGAAAGGTGCTTCCCTCCTACACTAGGATAGTCTTTGAAGTGAAATATAATTGTGTACGATTTTATCCTCAGAATCATAAAGATCTGCATTGCAGCTATGTGGATAGCGCCATTAATGCCACTACAAAACATTGCGGATGGAATTGGCCTAGTGACCTGCAACCCAACCAGAGGTCTTATGACATAATTATATGGTAGCTCAAAGAAAGAAGTATGGAGATTCTGAAGGAATCTTCTACTGAAGTCACTTGATCTTGAAACTAAATGTCCGAGGAGCTGTAAAAAGTGCAGAGAGAAAACAGAAATAGGAGCACTAACAACTATATTAGACGCCCGTGTGTTAAACAAAGAAATGTATTTTTGCAATGCCTTTTCTTGTTTCATGACACTTCACATTCAATGAAATTATCTGACATTGTATTCATGTCATTACTTCACTGTCCAGACATTATATCAAGCTATCAACATTAGAGGTTACAAAACAAGACACTGAGAACTATCCAAATCTATGGTTCAATTGTAGGAAGCTATTTTTTGGTGGTACTGGAAGACCTTGACATTCTTGTTCACTCCTATAAAGGTCTCAGCCAGATCTTCAAGATATTTGGTATAAGCCATTTCTTGGTACAATGTTAAAGTCTTTGGCTTGCAACCATAACGGAGGAAAGTTTAAAAATGTCACGAGGATTTTCTAATTCTCCCTCCAGAATTCAAAACCATACTTCAAAGCCATTATAGGCTATAACTAGTTAATGGCCTTATATCAAAATGTTCAGTGCATGGAGCATTATAAAAGGAAAGGAAAACGAAAAGAACATAAAATTTCATAAGAGAAGCTCTTAGAGAGATCAAGGAGAAATGATAGCCTCCAACCATGAATAAGTTCAGATAAACCCAGGAAACTATTGACAAAAACCTAATAAAACAAAAATACACAACATGGAGGCTTGCCCACATATTCATAGTTTTACACTTATCAAATTCCTTTCCCCCACAATAAAAATAGCAAGCAAGATGGAATTTTAATCATGGCATAGAAAGACAGATGTTGGTAGGGAAATTCAAGAAGCTAGCAGCTTAACAGTGGATGAAAAAACTTTCCATTTTACCAAAGCCAATACAACTACTTTAAAGAACCCAAGTGCAATGTATAATTTTACCAAGTTAAAAGCAAAGCGTATGGAAGAAGTGATAGATCCTTTTCCAGAACAAGATGAACTACAAATTTTTGCTGGTTAGGACATGAAAAGCAAGGGCTAGAGAAAAGAAAGAACTACCTCCTAAGAAGCAATTTTGCAATAGGATACCTCTTGCTGATAATGCAATAGTGCAGTGCTGTATGACCTTTTGAATCAGAAGCATTTATATTTGCACCATATTGTAGGAGTAGTTCTACCATGCCATTGTCAGCTGTTAGGCAGGCAAGGTGAAGCAAAGGACATCCATCAGAAATTTCCTTTATGAGCTGGTCCTCACTTCTATTTAATGACGTCAGATAGCTTGCTGATAGCTTGTTCAAAGAATCACCTGCAAAGCAATCAAACTTGAGATCAAGGTTTTCCAGCTCTTCCAACCACATTGGCCATTTTTAAGGACGTACTAAATGATGCTTGTCCATTGATGGCATTGACATCTATCCCAGAGCAGACAATATGGCGGTAAACTCCTTTCTTGTCATTAGCATGGATGCTTTCCCACATCTGTTGCACCACTGGATGTTGATTGTCCCTTGACTTGAACACAAAAACTTTTTGTGCATACTGCAATACAGGAAAACAATCAGATTGAGTCCAAAAATGACATAATCTACTGGCTTATTACAGCTAACCTACACTTACTCCCTAATGAGACATTTCAATCAATAAGCCAAAAAAAATTGACAAGGTAAACAGCAGGGCTAATGACAGGAATTGGATGAACACACATGCCAAGTAAAGAGTAAAACATTGCAAATTCAGGATGCATATCAGAGGAAGTTGCAAAATGTGTTGAAATTTAAAATTAGGAATTTTTACATGCATTCTTGCCTTCTGGTGAGCACATGGTTTCCCAATCATGAATGTAGGTGACAAAAGCAATCATCTGAATGGGTTAGGAAGAGGCTGAAAAGTCAAGTTGTTTGAAGGAGGCCAGAAAGACAAATCATTAGGATGCCAAATTATCTGTTTCTTTAATACTTAAGTTGATATATATTCGCAACTGCTGAAGCAACAGATGGAATAATGATCAAGTCACTTCATGCGAGGTAATAGTTATTCCCAAGGCACCGGCATGTCTTGACTAGGAAGAAACAAACCAAAACCTAAATTTCCACTCTAACCAAACTTCTAAACACAGACATGTAGATGCATAATCCCCTAAAGGGACCATACAGCCTTGGGCCCACACTGCCAGTTAAATGCTTAAAGAGTATTATGATGGTTAGATTAGGAGCTAAAGACCATCAAAAGACTGCTACTGTTGTAAAAGAATCCACATATGAGACAGCTCAGTACTTATGCTTTTCTCCTAGTTGCGAGCAAATCTCATTCAAATCTTTCACCATTTTTTTTGTTGTCTACTTACTTCGAGAAAAGTATCTAAGAGCCTTCATAATCTACCTTTAGACCAAGAACCGGGTCTATCCCCACCCATTCCCAAGTTAAGCCCATAAACTAGCTACAGGCATTCATTACAGAACTATCAGTGTGAGAATGGTATGTATATCTACTAAATCCTAAGGTTCGAGAAGCATTATGATAAATGACCAATTAGTTTACTAACAAATTCCATTTCTTTTTCATTCTCCAAAAAAAAAAATCCATCTTGGGTTCAAAAATATATTAGACATGTTCTCTTTTCAGAATGAAAGTCATCTAGGGAGCAAGAGAAAAATGTCACATTGTCACTATCTCCACTGATTGGTTGGGATGTTCTTAAATGTGACTGGGGAAATAAACATGAGATGTCCAAAAGAAATGGAATTATTCAGAGCAATACCTTCGCATGAATAAACTGCTCCTTCACTGAGATAGGATCATCTTGATTGGGTTTCCTTGTACGGAACTGCTTGTGTCTATCAGACTTAGAAAATCTATGCCACCAAAACTTCAAAATTATTAGTATTGAAAAAAAAAATCTTGAAAAAAAGAAGAAAAAGAATAGAAAACACAACAATTTAAAGCATATCAAATTTCTGCATTACTGACCTGAGTGCTTCGTCAGAAGTAGAACTTGTTGGATGCAACAACTCTTCCCAAATTGTGTTTGCACAATAATTCCCCAGTGATTGAAACAAGTTTAAGATAGATGGATCCCACACTTTTACATCAAGTGTTAGTGATCTTACCTGCATTGAAGGATTACCACAATGCAACATGAATGTGCAAAAAGAAGGAAGAACAGAGCAAAATATCATAAGTGTAAATATACTCAAACATCAAAGAGGCCTAGCTCAAATAAAAGAGAGAGCAAATAAAACAAAAAACATCAAACAATTATAAAAGACCTGGATTTCTCTCTCCCAACACACCCAAATTCAGATATTAACAACTGTAACAGTGACAGACTTTACATGATGTGAAAGTTTATTCACTATAAACTTATTAGAGAGAGATAGATAGAAGAGAATTGTATGGAATAGGAGTTGAGTTCACACACAGTAAGAAAATGGAGCAAAGACTCATCCGTTTTAGGTTCAGGTTTGATGTAATTATATTTAAGACTGTCAAGGCAACTCCAGGAACACATTATAGTTGCATGTAGACCATTGTTCACACAGAAGAATACAAATATTTTGTCAGTAATGATCTTAATTTTCCAACAAAAATATCACTGGCAGCCTCAATTATAAATCAACTTTCAGGAATAGTAAAAAGTAACAGTTAAATGAATCTGCAGTTTAGTCTCCTCAAAGTTACTAAGAGAGAGAGTGGTATTGAATGGAATGGTCGAGTGTACGCACACAGTAAGAAAAGTGAAGCAATGACTGATTTTATTTTCGTTTCACTTTTGATATAAGTAGATAGACTATCTATAAACAGTAAAGGCGTATCCAGGAACACAATATAATTGCAAGAGGACTTTTGCACTGGCAGAGGAATAAAGTATTTTCTCGGTACTGATCTAATTTCCAAATGAGAATATCACTGGCAACCTCAATTATAGATCACTTGGACATTCAGCACCACAAAAATGTAACAGTTAAACAAATCTATGATCTAGTACCCTCAGAAAAGTTAGTAATACCTCGCTTACATGCCCTAACCACCTTACTCCTATTAGAGAGAGTGAGAGAGATAGAGAGAACAGAACTGTATGGAAAAGGAGTCGAGTGTATACACAATGTAAGAAGAATAAAGCAAGGATTCATTTGATCTAGGTTCAGTTTTGATCAAAGTGTATTTAACAGTGGTGGCTTGTGCATAAACTCAAGAATTGGTGAGGTCAACTGGTAAACAGAAGCACAGTTTTCTATTAGTATACTTGGTTGTAGAGACATGTGGACCCCTCATTCATGTTTGCCTGTGCTTCTCGTTAAACATTACTTTGAAATACAATGCTTCTAAGGTTCATGTCTTAGGTTCATCAGATAAACGCACAAATTTCCTAATTCTTATCTGAAACTTCCATTCAGAAACAATGAAACAGACATGATCAAGCATTGATAAATTACCTTTGATATATGTACCCCAAGATTACGATGAACACCAGAACATTCAATGCATATAAGAATACCAAGGTTTAAGGATGCCCAGTCTGGTTCAGGTGCATCACAATCGGCACATTTGTCATTCCCAGGTACTCTTCTTAACAAATCAATTGGCTTTTCAATTTTTATGGTGTAATCTTGCCGTCGCAAACTTCTGGTTGGATGTAAATGACTTTCAGTATCAAATGTGAACTCCTCAATCTCTGTCTGATCAGGAGAATCTATGAACGAGCCACTCTCACTAACAGAGTGATGGTCACCACTTCCCATCGGACTAGAAGAAAGAAACTGACAGATAAATGGGCCATGTTCATTAATATACAAATCGACACAAAAGATACAGAGTACTGAAAAACTGTAGATATTTACTCTTTCAGTTATCTGGGAACTCAATAATGAAGTGATCACCCCATTTATCTTTTCAATCCAGTCCATTTGGTCTAGTGCATTCTCTGCCTGCATTAAAATCCAATACAATTGAGAACCTTTACAAACTTAACCTATTTCTCAAATTTACAAACTCATTCCTGGTTGTAATTTACAGCTGGAAGGAAAATAAGTTTTTTTCTTTTCCTGGTTATTTTTATATTCAACAGTCAACATCCAGTTACATGTTTGAATTGCATTTCGATGACAAACCTGCAAAGTGTAGACTTTCATTGGTGAAATAATTCTGAAGCAGAATCTTAAATCCGATTGATCTGCATCAACCTTTATTGTTGATGTCAGAAGGTTCACAGTGTGACGAGCAACAGATTTTTCATCATGCACACCACCATGGTAGTGAGAAGAAAGCCACCGACTCAACAAGCCGTGACCATTTTCAGAAGAACCATTTCTCTGTACCGCGGATTGACTCCCACCTGACTGAAATAGGGCAGTGCATAACATCCAGTGAACAGATATCAGACTCTAAAAGAGGTATATAATTGACAGCTCTCAACATTACAGGCTATATTCCAGTGAATGGCTTACGGATGACCAGTTGAATGGCTTGCGATAGTAGTAAAGTATTCCTCGATTATCAAGAACAAAAAACCTTCTTTTCCAATCACCTCTCAAATTTGAGGAACGCTTTGATAGATATCCTTGTCGAATGGTTTGAACCTGTATAATTGTAGTCTTAGCTAGTCATTCAAGCAGAGATACCATGAGGATGAAGTAATTGTGGGGAAAAGACAAAATTTTCAACTTATAGACAAAATCATGTTAAAGGTGAGCTTCACTTGTGAACTACCTTCCCCTTAGCAGCAGATTGCATAACCTCCTCTATCACTTTTTGTGAACTCCTAGCAGCAGGTCGCACACTCTCTTCATGAGGAGAACTGAAAATGTCATTTACAGAATGCCTACTTTCTTGATCAATATGCTTCATGAACTCTTGCATCCTTTCATGAAGGGATACTTGATCATAGTTGGAACATTCTCTACATTGTTGTGCATAAGCCAAGACCTATAACATAACAGCCAATGGCTCATATATTGTTTCAACTAAGAGAAATCTAAAAGGTGAGGCTACAAGTATGAAGCAGCCAACTTCTGCAACAAGGAGAGACAATCAAAGAAGAGGACAAGAATGTTCTGGCTTAATCAGATTAATGGATACTGGAATTTAAAACCTCATGTAGGAGGCAAGCCACAAACTTAACCTTACGAAAAATTCTATTAATTGAAAGTCAGTGCCCTCTATAAGTGGGGCAGAATTGGTCAATTATTAGTGGAGTCAAAAGACATAGTGCTTAATTGGTACACTTCAATTTCAAGCAACCCTTCATAAACCAGACATCAAGGGCTTTACCCTTTCTGTTCATGTTGTTTGACCAGAAACTTTTATACTCTACTTTTTTAACCAGTCCTAAAGGTGTCCCAGATGGCATAGACAATCTTTTGTTCACATGGTCAATTAGATCTTCTTAAATAAGAGTTGAATGATGGTGATAATGATTATAGGATCTTGTAGTTTTCTTCGAAAAATGCCTTTTCAACCCCATAAAAAAGAAAAATGAAGAGAAAAATGAAAGCTTCTTCCAGGTCACTTATGGACAACTCCACGATGCAATAATTAAGGACTTGATAAATTGTTTTTGAAAAGTAAAATGTGCTTTTTAGGGAAACTGATATAATTTTTTAACAGTACAATTTTGTGAGGGAACAATTAAAATTAAAAAGGACCTGGTTAATGAAAGGCTCCATCTGGTGCAGTAGCTCATATCCCTGAAACAATCAGGAATTCAAAGTCAACAACATACAGATTCGAGAATGAATTCAACCTTAACATCATCACATGATCACTGAGGTACCTGCTTGAAGAATCGAAGATGAGCATCCATTGTTCCACTAACAGCCTCCAGAAACTCAAATCTCCTCTTGGCCTCGACAACAGAAAGAGCACTAATCTGGAGATAGAAAATCATGTATTATATTTAATCCAAGCTGCTTATTGAAAAATTTATAGGATCCATGTTACTCGGTTGAATAAACTTACCAAATTAAAGCGTGCTTGCTCAAAAGAGGATCTTGCATTGTGCAGTTCCTGGAACGGTCTCTCTACCAAATTAGATTTAAACTGATGGTTACCTATGATTAACTACCTGAACAACCTACACACAAAACTAGATGGTGCTTTAGTATTAGAAGTCAGATGCTATGGATTGTACCTCCTGTATAGCAGAAGCTACATCCATCCTAGTACTCTTCCTCAGTGAAAGAAACTTATCACGCGCCTGCAGCACAACATCAAATTGGAACTGAATTTTGTCACGATCAAGTATATATTGGGCAACACTATCCTCGAAAATTGAAGTATATTAACCATAAATAATTACTCATGCAGAAGAACCCTCTTTAGAAAAGAAAAGAAGTCCTAGCAACACTTCTGAATGGAAATGAAAAACCATTCTATAAAACAAGGAGATAGAAACTAATCTGAAAGAAATTAGCAAGTGTAGACCTAGAAGATGATAATGATGTATTGTTATTAGCTTTATTGGTATGATTATTATTGGATAAAGAAGAATATATAATCAAGAGATTGAAAACCTAAACATAAGGTGGACTTGGATTACAGGTTGCATATAAATCAATCAACTCTAATGTCCCTTTTCTATGAGTTTTTTCATTCTCGTTTTGGTAATAAGCAGCATCTACCATGAGCACCTTTCTCCTGCAACTACCAGTATATTTTCCCCAGTATTAGTCTTTCGAGTCCAAGGTATATGAGTAACCTTCCAGAAAAAAACAGAGCAAATGAATCCATAAGGCAGATGGGAAAGGTACAGTATGAGGAAATCTATTATGAAGGGAATTTATTACTTGGACCATATTTGTAATTATTTCCATACTTGTACATAAAACACTTGGAAATTTTGAATTTCACAATTGCTGCTTCTATCGGTTTACTAAGAATCTGGATATGTAAATATCTATCTGCATGCAAAACATATGCATTTACAAGGAAACCAATATCACCAAAAATTGAGAGATATTGGTAAATAATTTACTCAAGTTTTCTTTTCTATATGATGATTCTTGGGTTAAGCTTGTTAGTACCTTTGTAACACATAATTTCTCCTCAACATTTAGAAAGGAAACCAGAAAAACATGTTTTGAAATGTTAGTGTGCATTTACAATGCCTTTGTGCAAAAACAACATTGAGATATGACCCAATCAGGAATGAAAATGCAATCACAAGTAATGCATACCATCACAATGCCAGCCAAATTACATGGAATTTAGAGAATGAAAACCTCAATAAGGTTGCAACAGAGATCATCAGCAGACAAGACACGGAATTTACATGCATACCTTCAAAGTTATATCATAGTATTAGATGAACAACCCACCTGATCATACATCACGGAAGCCTTGTCAAAACGTTTCCGTGCTTCCTGCAACAATAAAAGATTAACTGTAGCTAAGCAACAGTCTTTTTAGAGAGAAGTCCAAGATTGTTCTCAGAGCTTAGATGATGGTCAATGAAAAATGGATATATTTCTGATTATATATTATGAGCACACTATAGTTTCAACAAATAAACAACGAAGTCAGTGTATAAGGAATTCTTCTTAAGCAACAGTATTATGAAGTCCAAACTTGCAGGCATTGACTTTTTTATACAAAGAAAGCATCTATTTGACAGGAAATACAAAGTACCTTGATGTCTTGCAGATCAAAATTAACAAAGTGCTGCAACTTATCATTTAGCATGTGCTCCACCTGAGAAAGCCAATTTCAAATGGCGGTACAGCAAATCACTTAAAACAGTTTTCCATATTCTGTATTTAAATGGACAAAATGAAAACCATATCTAGCAAGTCCAGGAAGCATGCAAACCGTGTTATAAATTGTCTACCTGTGACCGAAGAACTTCCTTGTATGTACCAATTTCTCTCAACGTGATTGTGAATTTGTTCATAACAGGACCTAAGAACGACCACAAAAATGCAGTACTAGGTTATGAACAGCTAATGCATCGAGTTTTTTATTAGGTCCCTTAGATTTTTTTTTTTTTTTTTTTGCTTTTTTGATAGAATAGGTCTCTTGAATTTTACATATACCAGAAATTATGGTAAATATAACAGCATTTGGAAAGAAAGAGAAAGTGATAATGATAAAAGCATGAGTAAGATACATGTAACAGGCTGCGCAACAATACATGTTACTTCATCTTGACTGGCCAAGAGCTAATGTAATTTGAGTATATTTTGCACTCCGAGTAAAAAAACCCAAATCTGAACTCAAGACTGGTTTTTCAAAAGCTAATGTGATTTTATTAACATTGATCCTGTCATGAAAATGATTCAACATTAAGCTATGCTCAATTACAGCTGGCTAAGTATCACTTAATTATGCCCCTAAACTAATGATAAAATTATCCATACCAGTTAAATGCATGCATGCAACAAATGAACAGAAAATTTCGACATGCCGCACGAACATTTGCACCATACTACGGAGCAAGTCAGCTAGCTACACCAGTGATTATATTCACATCATATCAGGATAAAAATAAGGGACGATTTCAGTTGGAGGGAGATGTTGAATTTCAAATGCAAGTCAGTCCACAAGCTTCAGAGCAAGTAACCATGTATGCTTTCTATCCGCCAAAGTTACAAGACAAAGCAGTTCACTCAATTGGGGCAAGAGCTAACTCTCTACATAGCGGCACGAGCAGAGTTACAGGCAGAGCATTGCTCTTATCCAGCAACATAAAAAGCAACAACACATTCACTTAATAAGCAAAAACAGAAAACGTGGATATTACCTCCAAAAGCAACACAAATAGGATCATTATGTCCTCCTCCAAAAGCTTCAAGCGCACTCGCAAAAGCAATATCCCCATCATATCCTTCTCCAAGCCCTTCTCTGCAAATTTCAACAAACACAACACTAAGCAACATTTTCGACATCACAGAATAAACTCGACATTTTACGAACGACAACTTAGACTTACGTGTACTTTCGACATCCCTTGTAGAACTTCAAACACCTCCCTCGTAATGCCTCCGCGCTTTCTTCCATGCATTGCATCTATTTTCACACCAATTTGCTACAAATTAACCATAATCCGAACAAAGACATACACTTAAAAAAAAAGTGCATAAATTCATATTATTCACGTGCAAAATTCACAACAAACACATGTCAAGTAAAATTAAAAAAAAAAATTACAGCAGAATCCTTAATGCTAAGTAATTAAAAACTATTAATTAAAAACGTAGCTTAGCATTTGGAATTATAATTTCTTGTCCGCCAGTGAAAATTAATGCAAAAAAAAAAAGACTGTTTAAGAAAAAAACTGCGTTCAGAATGCTATCAATGCAATGTGGTTCCTGGAGATTAACGGATCAGAAACAGGAAGTTTCGGTTCAGAATATCGGCGACGAAACAAAAAGAAGAGAGAAACCTGTTGCCGAAACATCGGCGAATCGTCAAGTTTAGAGAACTGCATTTTTATTTTATTTTTTGAAGATTTTCTGCAATAATAATTCGAATTTCTTCTTCTTCTTCTTTGTTTGTTCTGTCGTTTTAGCTTTTGATTGTGTGCGTAAAGAGAGAGGCGGAGAGGAGACAGCTCCTTTTTCTTTTTTACTAAAAAAGGAGAAAATGCGTGCAGTTGATTAACGGCCGCAATCGATGGAATTTTTCCGTTGATTAGATTAGAAGGATTTATCAAAGCAGCCTTCTTTTATGGCGAACTTTAATGGCTGTCTCTCAAAAACAGCGCCCCCGCCCTCTGTTTTCGCTCTCGCTAAACAAAAAGAAGAACCTCTCATTTTCGTCCCTTTTTTGTATCAATTTAGCAAACGAGTCCCTGTATGAGACACATTTGGTCCTGTAATATATCACATTTTGTCAGTTTCACCCGATGAGAATCCATTGCATGTTTGGCTGGCTTGCTTGGCTTTAACAGGAAAGAAAGAACTCATGGTGGAAAACTTAGGTTACAAAAGTGTTTAGTTATTTGTGTTATTGAATAGCTGTTTCAAATAATCCCTATTGGATTTCAATATCCCCTTTTACAACCAAAAATTGGCAGTATTATTTATAAATTCTAAATGAGAGAGAATAGACTCTCATACTATTAGGAGTATTTAGCGCTGCGATTAGACCATGTTTTTTTTAAAAAATATTTTTTTTGTCTCAAGATATTTTTATTAATTTTTGAATGTTTTAATATATTAATATTAAAAATAAATTTTAAAAAATAAAAAATACATATTATTTTCATGTATTTCAAAAAAAAAATCAAAATACAATCTTTCCAACTTATCCAAACACCTACAAGAAAGATCACATGAAGCCAATTTAGGCCTGGTACTAAAAGACAAGGCCCTCTTCCATCACCAACGTAAAATTTGGAATCCCATTTCAGACAGCATAATATTAAAGGCACAACCACCATGTTCAGCTAGTTTATGAGAGTTTGGAAAAAGCAACAAAAACAAAAAAATCAATCCCAAAATTCAAAAGGAATTGTCAACAGGGAAATAAATTAAATACAACTAAAATCCCTCCAGCTGATCTGACTACGAAATGAATACACCCAGTGCCTCGAAAAGGAATCCCCCGCCTCTCTTTTGGTGGGGGAGGAGGTGTCTAATCAAACGCTTCATCAACAGAACTCATCGCCAGAGCCTACTTATGAAGCCCTTCTTGTCCTTCTTCATCCTGTTTTCTAGAGATGGGAAATCAATGCAGTTATAGGCAAGGTCTAGAACAATAGGATTTCGAGGTATTGATTGGAAAGCTGGAGGGAAGACTTCGATGCGCGGAACACTTTTGACATTTGGTTCCCCAACTGCTGACTCGTAGACATCAAGATTCTCAAGGAGGAATTTCTCCACCTGATTCATTCAAATCAGCAAGTCAACCAAGATCAGACGTGCACAAGCAGGAGCTGAAGCGACTCCCTCAAATTATTCATAGGATGTAACAAACATTATGTAATGATCGCAGACAAATAGAAGCACTGAAGTAAAAGAGAAGCTATTAAGCTGATAAGGAGAACCCATATTAGAACAAACTAACTAATTAGAATTTATAATTTATTCATGACATTATATATTTATTCATGACATTTTATATCAACTTTATAGATGGTCAGGATAGCTTTAAAGTATCTGCAGAATGTTAATGCAAAGCTTATATCAGAGGATCTGTCTATAGAAACCAACATAGAACTCGGAGCATCCTTGTCCAGTACCTGGCTAATGTAAGGTGAATCATCATAAGACGCAAAAAATGAGAAGTTGACATATAATGTTATATTACCCATCCTGTATGCCAGCTTACTCTCTTTTAGTAAACAACAAGGAATGGTGGTCCTCGTCTATTCTGTGAGAAGCAAAACGGAAAAACAAAGCCCAGATGGTTTACCTTCTTGTCCACTCCGCCGAGCGATATCGTGGAAACTTTCTTTGAAAGATTCTCCGAAACCTTCTCATGCTCCATGATCCCAGTAGCATGCTCTATGCAACTGTTAGCTCTGCACTCGTTGTATAGCGTTCTCAACTCTTTGATCATTACCTGTTATACAAAATCATTAACAGTCCAAGACAGATATTTGGCATGTCATACAGCTTGCACGTCATGAATCAAAATCACACCAAGAAAGCATCAACAAGAAAATGTTCCCTAGGGTATAAAGCAACTAAAAAAACCACAATATATGAAAAGGATTGCCCAGAGTTTTAGTCTCCTTTCTTTAGGCTACATCACCTCATCAGTGCTCGTCACAGTTTGGAATTTCTTTAGGGCATTCTCAGCAAGGGATCGAGCATGGCAGTATAATACATATGTTTCTGCTCGCTTTCCAGCTGAACTATATGATTTTGCCAAGTAGAAGCACCTGCAAATATTTCAGGAGATGAAAGATTAATAAAGATCCTAAACCTGGCAAGGATAAATTGATTGGCTCTTGGAGAACCAGCTTCAATTGTTTAATTCTGATAAGCAGGCATGTAATCGTTGATGTGCATTGTGAAGGGCATAATGAGGCAAGTACGTAAGAAAAGATCACTGGAAAAGCAAAGGATGATTAAAGTTGATGATATGGGAGGATAAGATATCTAGCCATCAAGTGATTTCTTGAATAGCACTTATAACACCCCCAAACACGAAAGGGATTGTCAAGAGATTCAACCAATCAAGAACTATCAATTGGGGAAAAATGTAAGTGAAGCAGCAAAAAAATCAATCTAATGAATTGGTATAAATTTCAAATCCCAACCTTTGTGCTCGGAAAGCCGTACTTTGAAGGTCACAGTCTTCAGTGAATGCTACTTCTTCAGGTTTTCGGTCTCTTCCAGAACTAACTAAATCAGAAAGGTCAGCTGTATTCTGTCAAACATAACATTAATAGAAACACAAGACATTAGTTATTTTGCTGAGATAGTGGCAAGTTTTGTATTCAGCAGTAGTTCAAATCATTCCTTTAAAAAGAAAATACATGTTGGAAACACATGCATAAGGAAAGATTGCTAACCTGTAATAAAAGATCATACAAGCGAACAAGTTCTTCTGGCTTGGTAACTTTCTCATTTTTGTCATCTCGGCGCCAGGTAAGTTTACTCTTGGCAATGCTAACCAACAACTGGTTACGCTCAATGGTACGCTGTCCTAGTACAGCACTAACAGCTTTATCAAGCCCATTTAACTCATCTTTGACACTGTCAGCATTACCAGCACTGACCTAAAAAATAGTGTACAAAAAGTTAATTGTGGAGGATTGGAATATAAAATGATTAACAAAACTAAGACTATAAAAATATTTTAAAAAACAACCAAAATTATGATGGTACAAGCAGGAAAATAGAAGGAAAACAATTAACAAGATTTGGCTGAACTTCCACACACCAAGTCACTGCGAATGAAGCTCCTAGCCTCATGATATGCCGTGAAAATTTTGTCAAAGACAGCTAATTTTTTCTCAGCTGGGATTGAATCTGCTGTAGGACCATGCAAATCCTTCTCCAATTCTTGTGCTGAAATAATCATCACACAAGAGACATAGTTTCAGGCTCTGTCAGAGGCATAAAAATAAGTGAGAGGGAAAATGGCCAGCAAATTATGAACATTCAATCCACTTCTTAATGAAATTGATGAAATCTAGGTATTGTAACATAGAGATCAATCACTCAATAAACCTAAGAAAATTCTAATAACGCATCACTAGCAGAGAAAAAACTATTTGGCATATGTTGCCATCACCCACATTGAATCATGCATTCCCATTCAAAGATACACATGAACAGAATACATCAATCAACAATCAGTTCATAAAATTTAGAGAGAACCAGTTTATAAAATTTAGAGATGAGAATCATTAAAAACAAGGAGAAATAGCATAATGACCATCCTTGTAATCGCTCAAGAGCTGCTAAAAGAGAAGATTTCATAGCAGATATGGATTTTTGCTAAATGAACAATTACAGGAGGTGATTACACACCCACCACAAATATAGTACTCCATGATAATATTCCCGCCTAAAGCTTTACTCATAGAAAGAAAATGCAAACCTTTTAAAATGGCAACCCGAGTTTTTGCATTTGAAATTGGAAATCTGTGACCAAGCCAATGAAACTCTGTCAGGGATGCAGCCTGTTGAGATCTTGCTTCAGCCATAGCAGCCTACAAAACAGCGCAGAGCATTCTTAAATGCAAGAATGAAAATAACAAAATAAATATTCATAATATATTCCTCAAATCAAACTATAGAATAGACAAAAAAAGAGTTTAGAAATACAATAGCCACCGAGTAACATTATGTTCTAGACAGAATCCAATGCTGTCAGAATCACTCATGCGTGTATAAAGGCTAGATTTCAATTGGTCTAAAATAAACATTCTGGAATGTATTAACTTTTCAAATGAGAAGGCAACAGGAAAAAAAACAGACAACTACTGGAGACACTAAAAGTAGGAGAACAAAATACTGGAGACACAAAAAGAAACAATAGGTCATGGACAAATTCTGATAAAAGATCAAATTTCACCTCCAATTTTGCTTTGAAAAGGTCTAGTGCGGGACCTTCCATCTCACCAATTTGTAAGAGCTCAGAAGTTTTCAGATTTGACTCGCCGATTTTGTGCCTGCAGTATCTAATACTAGGTTCCAGCTCCTCAACGCGCTCACGGCACAAAACTTGATTCTCCAAATCTCCATATTTCCCCAGTTCCTCATAAACCGCTCTATACAATACATTAAGCTAGTCAAGCACAATATTCAATATAGAAGCCAAATACTTATTGACCAAGCACTGAATATATCTTTTTATACTTGGGAATTATTAGATCAGAGGAATTTGGTCTGAGAAAGTGATAGTCAGTATCAAAATGTTAGCCTATGAAAGTGTCAATGTTTTACGGGGACAGTAATCATTGCATCCACACTTACAAATTTAATAGTGATGTTTCAAATATTAACTTTCTGTTAGTTTAATTTTGATATCAAAAAAGCACAATAGGCAATTTATCAAACAGACACAAACTCAATGTTAACTATTTTAAGTGGATAATCACTAATCATTCGCTATGGGAAAGATGAAATCAGGCAGGAGGACAGACATGGCAGAATGGAGGGGGTACTGAACTCGAGTGCATGGAATTGTGTCTTTAGAGCATAGCTACCATATACAAAACTCAAATCCCCTCAAGAACCAGCTTGGGAAGTACCTAGCTGGCCAATGGCCCTTTTTTCAAGAAACATTTATTGACAGGGAGAAACACTATTCAAATGTGAAAACATTGGTGATAATGATTTAATATGATAAAAATGAGAATAACCTGGAACTTATAAAATTCTTCAACGCAGTGTCCCAATTCTGATCTTGTTCAAACAACAGAAGCCCATTCATATATGATGCGTAGGCCTACAAATCAGGCGTCAAAGCATTGTTAATTGAGAATGAAAGAGCCATCTCAATATGAACTAAATTAGAGGAATGCTCCTCAACAGGCAGTACATAGAGTAGTTATTAGCAAAACACAGAATCCAAAGCAACTTGGTGCAGTTAAGTTATCAAGAAAATGATCAAAATATCTAAAGGTAAATTATGATAGATGACAGAACATATGTATAGACTCCAGTCTTGTATGTATGATCACATCCATGCTTTTGCATCCTCAAACTCCTCAAAACAAGATATTCTTGAGACAAAACAGAAGAGCAAATTCTGTGGTCTTTAGTGCCAATGCATGAGGTTAGAACTATAAGATCTCATTTATAATTAAAAGACCTACAAAGCTACATCCGTTACTTTTAAAATATTTGAACTCTCATAAGCAACATGTTAATAGCTAGATAACATGTTTACAATCCCATAAGCACATTTTGCATACTCCAGTTTAGATAATAGGCCAAACCATGCAAACAGGTACGAAAGAACGGTGACAAGATCTGCCTTATCTTCATTTCCCATCCCTGGCAAAACCCAATCTTTCAAAGTTGCCAATGAAGCCAGCACTAGAGAATTCAATTCAAATAGCATTGAACTCAATGGATTCTTTCATAAACAATGCAATGCAACAGTGTAATGATTCTGTAGCGATCTAATACAAGCTCTAGTTGAATCCCATCTCACCAATGCAAAACAGCAATGTTTATTATATGTTATGCTTTTAGCTTCAAAAGCTGAAAAACAATTTCCCAAATGACTTGTTTGCAAGATAAGAAATAGAATTCCAAATGAATTATGAACAAGAGCTAGGAAAAATTGCTTTGACCATGATCTATGGTCATGCTCACCACCACCAAGAACAAACTTGACAGGGAAGTTCATCCAATTCTTTGTGCAAGAACTAGAGCAAAACTTCTTGCTGATGCAATCAATACACTAGACACAATCTGCACTAACTTCTATTTGAATAATTATTAGGAGGTATCAAAGCAAATTGACTTGAGATGACTAAAATCATAGACACACCTCTGCTTCCAAAGATGTTCTGGAATCTCCCTTGGCAGCACATAATCCTGAAAATAAATCAGCCCATTTTACTGCTTTCCTCAGTCTCCCAATCAAATAAATACGTTGCTTGGCATTTGGGCCATCTAGAAGCTGTCGTTTCTCCATAGCATGGCTCCATGCTCTCTCTGCCGTATAAAGAACCATATGCAGATACCTGTTCTTCTTCAAACAAGATAGATTATAATCTTGACAGACTATGAAACAGAAATATCATTTTCAATTTCACATATATATAATGTTTGCTAATCCACAAAGATAAAGAAACCTCAAAAACAATGTAACCAGTGGACCCTCGAAATAGTTAATAAAGCAACACAACTACCACTATCCCCAGCACGGGATGCTCAAAACCGATTCTTGCAACAAAATTAGGCTACCAAATGTACTCTGTGACAGAATTGTTATAGTTTGTTTCATAAATTCTAATTCTTACTTGATCAAAATGATCCCAACCCATTTCTCTATATTATCCCCTCACTATCTAGACTCACAGAAACAAAGTGCATGTTGCATTAAATTAAGGAAAAAACAACAATACAGGATTAAATGAACAGTGCTGATTTCTTTAAGCTATACATATCAACAAACATAGCGCGCAAAACAAACAAGAAAAAAGCTACAATCAACAAGACACACCTCACTTCCGTAACAGTGGACTCATTTATAGCTCTACGCGTATATTTACCGCGGCCATGAGTAAACTTCAACGATTTATATAACCTCCTTAACCGTGCAGTACAATACCTCCTGTACTTCCAATAAAATTCATCCAGTTACACAATCAAATCAAAAATCCTTAACAAACAACCATCAGAATCTAAAAGCTAAATTCACATACCGATAACGTGCATAATCCCCATGCCTCAATCCATGCTGCATTTGCGCAGATTTCAGCAATTGCAAAACTAATAACCAGAATACTTTAATTAGCAAAATAATAAATTAAATAATTTCACTCAATTTAAGCTTAATTCAGTTAATTTTTTTAATTTAAAATGGAAAATGAGATTGCATATTCATTTGATTGGTGAAAAACAAAGACAGTGAAGATATAAGAAAAAATAATAACCGTTGATTGAGTATCTCGGATTGATCTGATCAGGATTATTGGATTTCGGACCGTCGACTTCCATTGCGGTCGCGTCATTCTCTTTCCCCATGATTCCTTCAAACAAACAAAAAGCGAATCACAACAATCAAAGAAAAAAAAAAGGTGTCATAATTAGATCCGGAAATTGGCGATAGAATTTAAATATAAGAAGGCGCAGTGGAGGGGGAATTGAAGAGATGCTACCTTGCGGTGGTGGTAGTGGCGCCGCCTGCTGCTTAGCGGTGGTGGGTAAAATGGTTTCAGTTTGGTTTTTAACGAGCACTGTTTTTTGAGAGTTTGGTATTGTGTGGGGTTTTGGGGTTTTCTATTGTTTTGTTGAGGAGAACAAAACGGTCCGGATCTTTGTTCGATCGGGTCGGGTTTGTTAAATTGTCTCAGTATCATACAAAAACAATCTGAATACCAGTTTTGAATGTGATGGTAATTATTTTTCCATTTTTCTTTGACTTTGTCTTATTATTCTCTAATTTTTCCTTTTAAACATTTCCACGATAAATTGAAAAAATTTTATTGGTGTGATAATAAAATAATATTTTAAAGATAATTATAAAAGATAATGTTACGTAAAAATATTTATCCATGTACATGAAAGGTGATATAATATTGAGAGACTAACAATAAAAATATTAACCCATGTTAAGTTTTCATATAAATATTCTGTAGTGAAATGTGATTGGAAATTTGGTTATGTTTTAAAATAATATTTTTTTATTTAAAAAAAATATTTTAAATATAATATATCAAAATATTTATAGAAAAAAACATAATTTACACTGCACTTATAAATATATCCTAAAAGGTCAAGGAGATAAATATTGACAAAAAAAAAATGATAAATATAGTAGGTTTACCATACATCTACATTCAATACACTGTGGATAGATTATACAAGGAACAGTTGATCATTATCACGTTAATTAATTGAGGTAAAGTGTGTATTATTCTTTTTAATTGAATAGTGTGATACCTATAACACCTTTGAATTCAAAATAAATAAAGAAATTTACATTTGATACATGAACATTTTGTTTTTTATTTAAAAATACATGATGAACTTAATTAATTACCTCTTCAATCATAAATTTTTAAACTTGAATTTACAAAATAATTATAAAATTTTAACAAACCCAACAGATTGACCCGAAATCTGCTGACCAGAGTCAAAAACAATCATCACTAAACTAATCTCATTACATTCAATCCCCCTTTATCTTTCCTTCCTTCGTCGTCAATCTACGATTTCCTTTCTCTTCAGCCACATTATTAATATATTCGGGGGGAGATAGCAATAGCAACAGCAAAGTAAGGGAAATATCCCGAGTATAATAATAATTATGACCATGAAATTGCTTCTGCTTTTGGTGAAGGTTGCAGTGGTTAGTTTAGGAGTGGTGTGGAAAGGGAAGTGATGGCTGTGGCGTGTGGAAGGGATTTTAGTGTGTTCAGGGTTTGATTCATTCATTTTTATGGAATTGTTTTTTTATTAATTTTCTTTTACGCAGATGTAGGAAATTATGGGCCTAGGAGCTTGTGGATTATGGTACTTGCCCGAGTCGTTCATTAAATCGTTTTTTATAACTATGATCCAAGGGTTTATTTATCTTTTCATTATAGTGTTTTTTTTTATGGCTGTTATAAGATCAAGCTAGTGGCAATTTCATAATTTAAAAAAAATATTTTAAAAAATTAGGGTGATGAGTGTTGTACACTCACCAGTGTATAAAACAACTCCATACACTTCAAGTGATATATATAGTAACAGAATTATTCATTCACAATGGCATTAGAAATAATGCAGCGTTTAAATGAAGTGGTGCGTGTGGTGGTTCATTTGGTGGTTTAACTCTCATAACCTTTTTTTTTTTTTTTTTTCTCTCCTTACCCGGCAAAAAATCCATGCTGTCCTTTTATTTTGTTTAAATATTCAATTCAATCCTCTTGTTTTTTAATATGTGATTTTTTTTTTAATTTTTACTGTGAACTTTAAATTTATTTTTTATTCCGCGAATATGTGATATTTTTTAAAAATTTTAATGTGAACTTTAAATTTATTTTTTATTCCGCCCTTAATTGAAATGTGATTCTCCCTCTTTATTTTTGTCTTGGTTTTATATTTAATATTCTTTCTTCTAATTTCAGGTTTTTTTTGTAAAATATTTTTTTTCGACTTTACCTCGATGAATATTATCACTCTTTTTTTTTTGTTTGTTTAACATTTGATATTCATTCTTTTATACCATCATTATTTTTTGTTTTGGAGTTTTTTTATTAAATTGTTTTATTTTAAGTTTTGTCATCTAATATTAAAATGTTATTTTCCTCTTTATTTTATCATAGTTTTGGATTTGATAATTTTTCTTTTGATTTTTTTATAGAACATTTGACTTTTTTAAAAAATAACCCCTAGATCAATCAATGTTACCCCCTTGAATTTTTGTTTCACATTTTGTTATTTTTTTATTTTTTAAAATTTTTAATTTTTTTTTAATTTCATCATATAATATTATGTTAGTTAAAAACTGAAAGTTATAATTTTTTCTGATATATCAATTTTAAAATTAGTCGAATAAGTAACATGGAAGTCATTTCACTAACAAATTATTAAATTAGATGGCTAAATTATTGATGTTATACTCAGAAAACACTAATAATTAGAATAGAGTTTTTGTGTTTTGTGATTTTTTTCTTATTTATGATTTTTTTATCTCAATACCTAGGTCATTGGTTTAAATTAACCTATATTGATTTAATTTATTTTTTTATATTATTTTTTTCAATTGATTTTTTATTCCATCTTTCAATATAAAGTTTGGTTGAAAAATGAATTTTATGTTTTTTTGCCTTATTTTTTATAAATTTATTTAGATATATCGATTGAGTTGCAAGCTGACTATATTCATCTTATCTGGAATATTTAAAAAAAATATAATTTAATATATTACTGTATTAATATTTAAAAATAATATCATTTGATATATATTATATTTAGAGCTCATAATTATTATTTTTTCTTGTAAAAAAACATGTTTAAATATTTTTTAAATTAAAAAAATAATTTAGCTCGCATCGCTGCACGAGGAATGATTTCTTTTAATACGTAATATCACCCTTTTCTCATGTCCATCGTCTATAAAGGGGTGGAAAGAAAATCACATCAAAGTCAGCATCTCAATCTATCTTTTTTTTAATAAAAAAACCAAATTAACGTTGGTATTACTAATTAACTAAACCCATTTTTTAATAACTAATTAAAACACGCTCAACAAATACACACACCCAAACTCAAAAGTGGGCCAAAAAAATCAAGCCTGTATAACTTTTATTATCCGCAAGATATTAAAAATCATCACAACCCAAACCCAAACTCAATCTCCACGAACGTACCAACCCTCTCCTTGCCGGCCGGGAAAATTTGAAAAAGCCCAAAATCCAAAAATAAAAATATCAGAATGGCATTTACATCCTCAATATTCTCTCACATTCCCTTGAACAACCAAAGAATGTGCTCTCCGAGTTTCCATAAACCAAAACTACTCAGAACCACCGTCACCGCAGCCTCACTTCCGCCTCTTTCCGCCTCAATCGCCGCCGACATCGACGGAGCCACCTTGGCCGTCATCGGGGGCGGGTCAGTGGCTGCATTGGCTGCCGCCGTATCACTCAAAGCCCCCGAACGGCGGCGGCGCCCTCAGTCGGAGGAGGTGGGCGGCTGAGACAAGGAGGTGGTGAGGGAGTACTTCAACAATTTTGGGATTCAACGGTGGAGGAAGATACATGGAGAGACTGACGATGTTAATAGAGTGCAGATGGATATTAGGCATGATCATTCAAAGACTGTTGAGAATGTGCTGAAGATGTCGAATATTTTATTTTTATCATTTAACACCTGACTGAAGATGTCAAAGACGAAGGGTCGTTGGAGGGTGTTAGTGTGTGTGATGCTGGGTGTGGTACTGAGAGTTTGGTTATACCCCTGGCGAAAGAAGGGGCGGTTGTTTAAGCTAGTGATATTTCTGCTGCTAAGGTGGCTGAGGCCGAGAAACAGGTGAGCTAGTGGCGGCGGCGGCTCTTTGTTCAGCTGTGTTTTCTTTTTGGTTCGTTGTTTTAGTGTACAAGTGTTAACGGGTTTTTTGAAAAACTGCTTAAATTTGAAATGTGGGTTTTATGTGTGCTTTTTGTTCAAGGAAATGATGTTTGGTTTTTGTGGATAAAGAAAGTGAATTGCTAGTGATTTTTTGGTGGATGAAATTTGGTTTCGCTTACCATGGATGGGTTTGATTTCATGGGCTTTATAGGTTGTTTTAGAAATGAAACGGAGATTTCACAGAATTGATTCTGGTGCATTCAATTTGAAGAATGATGAGGACGGTTGAGGGTCTGGCGACTGTGCAATCATGGCTGCCACACTTGAACATGCGCGGTTGTGAATGGACAGTGGGCACAACATGGCGGTCTGAAGTATTTGTGACCATTTCGTTAAGAATCATGAGTCGGATTCTTGAATGGCATAAAATTATCTGGTAACGTGCATTGATTAATTCCTGAAGAAATTATTGAAACCTAACTTGGTTTCCAATTTTGTGCAGGCAAAAGAGCAGCTTCAAGCAGGAAGTGAAAACGTAGTGCCTGTGATGCCAAAATTGGAAGTGAAGGATTTAGAGAGTTTAGAGGGGAAGTATGACACAGTAGTCTGTCTAGATGTTCTGATTATCTGATACATCACCCACAAAGTAAAGCAGATGGGATGATTGCTCATCTCGCATCATTGGCTGAGAATCGACTACTTTTGAGCTTTGCGCCAAAGACATTTTATTATGATCTATTAAAGAGAGTAGGGGAGTTGTTTCTTGGGCCTTCAAAGGCAACAAGAGCTTATCTACATGCAGAGGCAGATGTAGAGTGGGCATTGAAGAAGGTTGGGTGGAAAATAAGGAAGAGAGGCCTGATCACTACCCAGCTCTACTTTGCAAGGCTCGTCGAAGCTGTTCCTGTGCAAATGGAATAGAGGTTAGGTTTGAAACTTGGCATTATTGCGCTTGCTTTGTTGCAAGAAATGGTTAGGGTGTTTGTTATTAATTTGTAGAGCCTTGAATTTTCTCTCTATGTTGTCATTATACTCCTTTACTGTTATGTATTTCAAGTGTGTACTAGATGACCGTGTATCTAACATTTGATACAGCTAGCAAAATTTTTCTGTTCATCTAAAATATCCTTTAATTGTTCATGTGATCATATGATGACACCAATTTGCTACTTTAGGAAAAGCTGTTCATCCTTTTCCTTCAGCTTTTTGT